CGTGTGTGTGTTCAGGGGCGTGCACAGGGGACCCCCTTTGCTCGCGCAGAAAACGCATCTGAGGGGGTCTAATTTCAAAAATTCCCCCCCCCCCTTCGCGTGTTTGCTACTGGTGTCCCCCCCACAATTCAAAATGGATTTGCGCGCCTGACTGCACTGTCAGCGGAAAACATTGCCGTGCTTCTGTTTCTCAAGAAAAACATGAGAAATTAAATCATGTCATATAATACAATATATGATGATATTAAAACCATCAAATTGTTACTATATCATGCATGGTATACACTTCCCAATACGTATTGGAAAATATTGCAATACGGTTTTGTCGTATTGCAATATATTGCAATACAGTTTTTGGTCGCAATACTCACCCCTAGTATATATATATTCTTTCATAGGATCTTTCTTATTACTAACCAGTGTGATTCATATATATACACACATATATATATATATATGGTTTATTTTACTGATAAATTTATAATATTCACTGGAGCGACACTTTCAACAGCTTAATGGTGACCGATTGTTTGCTTGAGCTGTCACCAGGTGGCAGTAGCTAGGTGAAATTTGTCTGGAGAATCTAATGTCTCGTGGATATCAGTGTTAGTAGTGGCGTGTCATTGAACGCATTTGGCATATGTGCTTCCTGAGAGGTTGTTATCGTAAATGTAAGATAATTTTACGAATAGATGCTCTCTGCTCATGTTGGCAGGGCTAGCTTCCTCTTCGATCTTTTTTTTCCAAAAATATTTGCCACAGCTGGTTCAGTGACATATGTGGTTATTGGTGACCATGCAGCCATATGCAGGCACCAACAACAGTTGGTTAGTTTCTTACCTAGCTACTGGCACTGCCACCTTGTGACAGCTCTGACCAAAATAGCAATGCAACTTAACCACTGCAACTATGTCAGCTGTCACTCCAGGAAATATTTTTGATAATTAAACTTATTTGATTAAAATAAGGTCTGGTAACATTATTCCATGATCTTTCTGATTTGGATTCACTAACCTATTGTACGTGATCATGCTTGATTTGTATGTTACCCTATGATGTAACGTGTAAATATATTTTTTTTTTAACTTGAGGAGCAGCAAGAGTTGTTGCAGCATTAGCATAGTAGCAACATCGGGCAGTGGTGGTAACAATAGCTATGGAGTAGTGTTGGGAAGTGGCAGTAACAGCAACGGCGGGGTGGATCGACAGCTGACCACTCACGCTCTATGGCACCAACACTAGCTTATGTGATAATAATAATGACCAGAGGTGATTGATTGAGAGATAAGAGAAAATCATGTCATTGCAAGGGGAAGTGAGAGAAACACGTGAATTAGACGAATCTCATATTTTTCGGAAGCTTTGATCGATGTTATTGTTTACATTATTTACTGGGTTTTACGTTTGGAGTTGCGAAATTTTTTTTTATACATGCAACTTGATACAGTTGCTGCTTGTGTTCTATTATTACTCAGTAGTGAACTCGATCAGTGATACCGCAACTGCCAGGTGCGGATTTAGGCCGGTTTGCACCGGTTTCCAGAAACCGGTCACAGGCTGGGTATCTTCAGAATTGACCCTCAAAATTCACCAGAGTGCACCAAATATAGCAAAAAAAATTTTAAAATGCCCGGGGGGCATGCCCCCGGACCCCCCTAGCTGTGACTAGAACTATGGAAACTGGTGACCCAAACCTTCTGGATCTGCCCCTGACTGCAGGTGTGTAGTAGTACGTGATATCTTAAAAATGTGTTTTTATTCACTCGTGAGAATAGTATGTACATTGTTTGTATTGTATCAGGGGTGAATAATGACAATTTTTCATTATTCACCCCTGATTTCATGTATATCAAGAGTACATAATATAGATTATATACATAATGTATGTATTGATGTATACATTGCTCTCAGATTCTCCAAAGCAGCCCTCGTAATATGAATATTGGCCGGTAGGTGGCGCTGGTATCAGTTTGTAATGCTCAGTGTTGACTGTACCACAGTACAATTCTTTATATTGTAATATTATTATTTTCTTATATGCGAGCTAGTTGGCTGCCATCTATACGAGGTTATGTGTACTTGGGCCTCGTGTACTTGCTATGATTTGGCGATGTACTGCTGAGGTTTCGCTACTGCGAAAATTCATTTCTAAATCGTTCTAAATTAAGATTCGTGAACTTGAGGATGTCGGACTCGTTCAGTCTAGGATAACGTTCAACGTTTAATAAATACATGAAATTCAAATAGGTAGGCATTTTTGTAGTTATTATGATGAATCGTTGAATGATGGGTGAGTGGCACAATTCATTACGACACCGGCGTAGCGAAGGATTGTACTAATTTGTAGAGTAGCATAGAGCGGTCGCTGGCACTTGGAACGTCTCAATAAAAAAATATATTCGTCCGAGCATCGGACACCTGTTCGTATGCGCTATTCGTCCGAGCAGTTGTTGCGCATCCTACTACCTAGCTCTAGTACTATAGCCGCTTACATTAACTGCCGCTGGCCGTTAATGTAAAAAGTGGCCAGCGGCCGTACAAGTGCCAGTGGCCAGCGGCAGTGGCCAGTGGCCAGTGCCGCGGCCGCGCCCAGTGGTGCCGCGGCCAGTGGCCAGCGGCCAGCGGCCGTACAAAGTGGCCAGCGGCAGTTAATGTAAGCGGCTATAGTACTAGAGCTACCTACTACCTAACAACGCATACTAATTATTACTATCTAACCCTAACACGAACTATAAACCGACTGTTCTGTTATTCTACGCTCGGTTCTGTTATTCTACGCTCGGTTTCGTATATATACGCGAGTGATAGTACCAAACACTATCTATGGTGTATAACCATATACGCAACGCATGTAATAAGCCATGTATGCAGGGGCGTCACAGCCGTAGCGTAGGGCTGCCGTAGCAAAATGCTACGGGCCCAAGCCTAAAGGGCATAAAATAACCAAAAATCTTAAAGGTAAATAGCATTTTAGACCGTCTAGATTTAAAAATTGTCTGGGGGGATACCCCCCAGACCCACCCTTCACACTTCCTACCTACGGCACTCGTGCCGTGCGCCTGCGGCATGCAACATGAACAGCGCATGCGCAACAACTGCTCTGACGAATAGTGCACACGAACAGGTGTCCGATGCTCGGACGAATATCCAAGTCGAAAAAAATAATGGTAAATAAACACGAAATGTATTTACTACCAAATTCTTAATGTTTCTCTACTCTATTTTGCCTATAATCACCTGTAAATGCCAGTCAAATGCTCATCTGCAACACACAAGTACACCGCACGCCCTAAACCGACCAGGCTCTACGACTGGTACAGGTCGTAGGAACGTGTAGGAACGTCGTAGGAACCTCTCGCCAACGTAGTGTTAAGCGAGAAGGGAACTTGTGGCTACGCACGCCCGTGCTTAGACCAATAAATTGTGCCCTAAAAAATTTTATATTCTGATGTTATTTTAAAAAAATCCATAGACAAAACCTGTGAATTTTGTTGTGCAAAATGCACGACAACCTTTTCACTATTTACGGCCGTGTTACATAGAAAATCAAAGAAATACCTAAAGCCGTCGCTTTATTAACATCTTACCTACATTACAAAACACTTGTCATTAAACACTTAGTCACTTAAAACATCACGACATAAAAATCACGCAAACTTCGCTACAAACAAAACTGGCAATCTTGCATTGAACCGCACCGGACAGCGATGATTTCATTGGCTGGTGAGAAATGCCGTATCTTCCGCACTTTGTTGCCCGACTCGAAAATCGGCGGCGAGTCACTGGACACACTAGGCGATTGAGTGGGGTGACTCAATCGCCGGTGAAAATCGCCTAGTGTGTTCGGGGCTTTAACACATTGCGAGTGTTTTCACATTGAGAGTTTATTATGTGTAGTTCTCCTCTATCTGAGTACTGTATTTACTCTGTATTCTATGTGTTTACTTTGGCACTGTTAAAAATGGTGGTTGTGAGTCACAGGCAAGGCGCGTCCACTGTATTGATATTACTTCCTAGAATAGCAAAGATATGTTGAGTTACTGATTGTGCAAATATTGTACAAGAGTGCCGGGTAGTGCTGGGGCATATGTCCCCCCCCCCCCAGACACAATTTATTTGCCTCATGGTTTGAGTTTGGCACATCAGTGGGTGTTCTTTTTCATGCAGTCACTTTTATCAATATCAGTTGCCTTAAAATTATGTAACAATTCACGGATCATCTCAGAATTAGACTTGCGTAGGTGTCTCGAAAAAACCCGTTTGTTGCCTTTGTTATGCCGGCAACATATCCGTGGAGAAGGGGTGCTAGTAGTAATGACCCCAATCTCAGGCTCAAGGAATCTGAATCTGGTTACACACCGTGAACATGCATAAAGACTGAAGTGAACGAGTGATGTTGAAAGACTTTTATTAGGCAGGGCAGAGTTGCACCATCTTTTGTACGTGCTCCAAGGAGCCACGGGATATGCTGTATTGATATCACGCAGGGTGGCTCATAGGGTCTATGTTCCCCAGGGTACTGCCAGAACATACCCTGGGTACGGGGTAATATAAAATAAATAAATAGATCTATCACTACGTGCTTCTGGCATATTTAGATTGCCATGTGCGTTTATTGAGTCATGTGACACGGGGTCTGCCTTGTGGTCCGCATGTGTGCCTACGGCATGCCTTTCAATCAATCCATCGCGTTTTTTTTACCAAACTGGCCATAACCTCTTTTGTCTAATTTTCCCTCAGAAGAAACCCTGCTATCCGTATATATATATATATGAAACGGGCAGTAACTGTACACCAGTTGGCGACACGGTAGTATCAAACAAGTAGGCTCTGTTTGACGGAAATGTACGAAGTTACACGTGGGCTAAGCTTATAACGCAAGGTTAGCGTTGATTTTTCTTTCTAAAGTGTTGGATTCTTATTTTATCAACCATAAATTACTGTTGCGATGTACTATTGTAGTTTTATGCAACGCAGTGAATTTTTGAATCATTGTTTGCATAGTTCGGGAGACTTCGGGTCACGCTGCCTTGTAGACTTCCTCTTCCTGGTAATGGCGTGTGGTAATTCGGTTGCTTGAATCTCGCTCTGCCAAAGTCACAGAATTACTCCATAAATAGGAGTTAAGGTGAGGAAATGTTACTGTATCAAGTGAACTAGTGATGTGCAAACATAATAGGAGTGAAGTGGGACAGAGTCGGTAATTTTAAGTGCTCGTTTTAATCAATAGTTTTCGGCTAGCCACCCGAGCACACGGGCACAGGCACTGGGAAGCGTTTCAATAAAATATACGCAGGGGTCGTGTGCTGTGCACGGTGACAGTTAAATATATAGCAGGTAAGAAAGCGTGCACCAGAAATTCGCTTGGCGCTCGATGCAGTTCACATGATTACAACACAAATACTCAACTTTCCGACTCGATCTTTGCTGCTAATTGAAGAACAGTGTTCACTTGTTGTAGAAATATTATGTCTCAGTTCGAAACAGAGCTGTGTCACGCAAAATCACGAATGAGATCATGAAATTCTCGCGATCGCTAGCACTGCGCACGTGATGTTAATGAACTTAAGTACATTGCTAAAGGCGGCGCACTGCATTTTGGGAAACAGCAACGCTGCTTTCCGCCTCCCATGTGAGGGGTGTTGCTATCCCCCGGGCGTGGAGGGTCGGTTACGTGATACAGTTGACGTATACTTCAAAACTTAACAGTAACCATAACACTAAATATCTATATATCGGATCTCTATATATAGGGGTGTCATCCACAAAAATTAATCTATGGTGTGGGGACAGATATCATGATGCAAAAACCCTAACCCTAACCCAAACCCTAACAGTAACACTAGTGATGCCACGTTGCGGTACTGTCCCTCTACGCCCGGGGGATAGCATTTTTCCCCATGTGAGCCCCGTCAAAGCCGCCAGTGGGGCGTTGCTATATATATCATAGACGGCTCCAACGGCTACAACCAATACGGCCGGTAGGGGTCTCCACATTCCGAAATTCATTAACATCAAGTGCGCAGTGCTAGCGATCTTTCGAGAATTTCATGATTTCATTCGTGATTTTGCGTGACACAGCTCTGTTTCGAACTGAGACATAATATTTTTACAACAAGTGAACACTGTTCTTCAATTAGCAGCAAAGATGGAGTCGGAAGGTTGAGTATTTGTGTTGTAATCATGTGAAATGCAGCGAGCGTCGAGCGAATTTCTGGCGCACGCTTTCTTACCTGCTATATATTTAACTGTCGCCGTGCACAGCACACGACCCCTGCATATATATTTTATTGAAACGCTTCAAGTGCCTGTGCACACGGGTGCGCGCAGGTGACATCCATTTATGCAGATCTGAAAGGTCGAACTGAAGCTGTATTTTTAGTATGCGAATGTTTTACACTTGATTATGATCTTGTATGTGTGTGTTGATCAAACGTTTAGACATTGTTGTGCGCCAGCAACTGCGATTGTAAACTTGTGAAGTAGTTGCGTTACTACGTCATGTCAGAGGATTCAAACGAGTACGTATTTGCTGTGTACATTGTTAGGCGGAGCAGGATCTAAGTTGGCGCTTTGTGTTGTTTAGAGTTACAAATCAGAGGACTAGTAAGAGGGCGTTGACTGATTGAGGCATATAGAGGTGACGCTACTTCTTCAGGAAGTCGCAGTCGGGGGTGAGTTCGGAGTGACACAAATATTGCACCTGTACTGTTAGTCTTGTCAATGTTATACTTATGGTATTAAGTAAATAATGATGTACTCTTGATATTATCGCAAAGTGACATGTTAAAATCTTATGTGTAATTGTATTCTCATGCACGCATACACTTATGTACATGTACAGTACAATTAGGTCAGTCAGTAATATTCTAGTAATGTGTTCTGGAAACCGCTTAATTCCTTTCAAACAACTAAATGCCTGATTCATTGTGACTGTATATAATATGTAATTTCCGTATTGTAAGTTCCATATTCTTTATTGTTTGTTTGTATTCAAAATGAGTATACAAATGGCGACATATGAATGTAGTTTTACTCTTTTGCTAAAGCGATACTTTTGCCAGCATTCCAGGATCATAACTACGTTATGTGTTGACTCTTATGCTTAAAGCAATACTTTTGCCAGCATATCAGTAATGTGACCCTTCTGTGTGTTACAGGGTTGGTTGGTTTTCTTCTTTTTGTACCCGATTGGGATTTGGAGGAATAAACCGAGACAGAACCTAAGTGTTATTCTTCGAGTTTTCATATATATATATACAGGGTATATATATATATATATTTGTCTTTTCACCAGTGATCGTCTCGGGGTAGATAAAACAAGATGGCGGACAGCGCGCCAGCGTCAGCCGAGCCGCCGAAGGAGAAGCAGCCGCTTGCTGTAAATGACGTCCAGCACGACACAACGTCTCCAGAGAAGGTGGCGCTCAAAGCAGGCGAGAGCATCGTGTCCTACGCTGGTCGCCGTGGCGATGTTGACGGAGGCTACGCGTGGGCCATCCTCACTTCTGTCATCATACAGTTGTTCTTCATGTTCTACGTGATGAACGCATTCCCGGTGCTGTTCCTTGAACTCCACGACTACTTCGACGCTGGTCGCGGCACAATCGCGTGGATCGGATCCGTGCAGATGGCCACCGTGTTCATGATCGGTAAGAGAAGCTGGCTGGAGAATGATGGTTCTGTTGGTAATCGAGGACGTTGTTAGATTTGTAATCGAGTACATTGTTAGATTTGTAATCGGGTACGTTGTTAGATTTGTAATCGAGTACATCGTTAGATTTGTAATCGGGTACGTCGTTAGATTTGTAATCGAGTACATCGTTAGATTTGTAATGGAGTACGTCGTTGACTCATTAGATTTGTAATCGGGTACGTTGTTAGATTTGTAATCGAGTACATTGTTAGATTTGTAATCGGGTACGTCGTTAGATTTCAATTGTAATCGAGTACATTGTTAGATTTGTAATCGATTGTTAGATTTGTAATCGAGTACGTTGTTAGATTTGTAATCGAGTACATTTTTCGATTTGTAATTGAGTACATTATTAGATAGCACGTGAATAGGGGTTAAAAAAGTAAAAACTATTTATGGAGTTACAGAAAGCTCATAGCAAAAAGAAATGCAAGGACCATGCCTTGCCTGTTCACGAAACAGTGGGGGCAAAAACACTATTTTTAATGAACAAGGCCACAATAGCAAAACTGAATATCCTAATTAGAAATGCACATGCTATTGGAAAAAAACGGCAGGCCCTACACCGATTACGTCAAGCTGTGCCAGCTTGACAAGGCCAAGGGGTTAGATGTCGGCAGCACTTACCTCACCGACAAGGCCTGCCAGAGGTACATTACGGCGATAGCCGATACAAGGCGCCGGGAACAGTTTGGAGCTATAAATGAGGCCAAATTCCTTGCTGTGATAAGTGACGGATCCACAAATTCCTCATCAAAGAAGGCCGAAATTTTATTTTCGAATTAAAATTTAATTTAATTTAAATTTTAATCTTATGATCCATATCAAAGTTACGTATATTTTATACAATTGAATGTCTTTTGCAAAACGTTTCTGGGGGACACCCCTTGTACCCTGGGGGAGACCCCCTGTACCCCCTAGCAGAAGGGGGGCTCCACCCTCCTACCCCACCTACCTCCTGGCAAATCACAATGCTCGTCGCTCTGCGCCTAGTAAGAGTCCTTCGGCAGGACTAGTAGAATCTTGGAAGGACTAGTACATTTGTTCTTTTACTAGTCCTGTGGACTAATGAACTAAAATGGTTAGTATCTAACCCTGGTCAGTTGATCGTATATGAACGTGTGATGCTACAGGCATTAAAGCTGGTACTAATAGTAAGTAATAAAATACGAACTATATACCAGGCCAGGTCACCAGGTATGTACATACAGGGCACAATTTCCCGTCATGGAATTGTGTGGGTAAAGACAAAGGCTTGCAAGCCAGGCACGTAGGTTCCTGCATATTATATTAAAATAAACTATAAAGGAAAATGAATGCAATCGTTCACCTTAAAAATGTAATATCATTCATAGTGGGTGTAAGGGGGTCAGGGGGGCACACCTGGGTCCAGGAAAGAAGTATAACCGGGAGCAAGATGTATGGTCCATAGAATCTAAATATCCATGCACATATCGGCCCTGAGAATTTTGTAGGAAAAACGTAATTTTCTAACTGAGACGTCCTTACTTGCGCGATCAAAAATAATACAGAAAATCCAAAATACCAGGTTTAAATTAAGCCATAAAAAGTGCGATATCTAAAAGTTTCATACTGTGCAAGCCCTTACTACTACAATGAATATACTCACATCCGCTCCAGTGCCGTTGACACAAGCTTCGCCCAGATTACCACGCCGCCACTTTTGACAAATAACAAGTTGAAGATAATAGATTCTGAATAATTCGGTACCGAATACAATCCCCGACAAGCGAGTGATTAAATCTAGAAATATCGAGCTCGATCATCAAGGACTCTATTCGTGATTTTGAGATAAAGCAAGGATTTAACTTCCGTGAGCAGCTGATATAGGACTCGGGGATTTTGAAAAAAAAAAATCGTCATATGGGCAATGCGTCCATAGTCCGTCTGAGTTCAGTAAAATAATGTCATTCTTACTTGGAACCGAGTTACAGTCCATTTTACAGTAGATGTATGTCACGTTCCATTTCTGTAATAATACATTAGGAGAGTATGAATAGCGGATGACGATTTGTAGATAAATATCCAGTATTTATTGTCTGTAAGATATTACTTTTTCCTTATTTTCTTCCTAAAGTAAGGGGGATGAAAGCCACCCACCTCAATAAGTGTGGGGGGATATACCCCATCCCCCGCTAGTCTATCGCCCCTGTCAGATGACTCAAATTTGACTTTTGATATGCATACAAATATTCATAATCATAATCTTTGTTAGCAGTATCAGTACTCTATACAGGCACCGCGGAACGATTTTGAAGTGGGGCTGTCAAGTCTGTTCACGCTCGAGAGTGCGCCCAATGCAGTTTTCAAGGACTGAGCGCGTGGTAGAAACAGGCGTGGGTATCGTGCCGGGTCCTCCCAAAAAATCTTGAATCCCCATTTTCCCTCCGCTGACAAGTAGGGGGGGGGGAGTGATTGTACACCGCTAGCCCGCGCACGTTCAATAAGGTGGGCGGATGCAATCCCCCCATGCCCCGCTATCTACGCCCTGGTCGTGTAGCATTTGTAATCGCGACTTGTTAGATTTTGTAATCGAGTACATTGCTGATTTGAATCAGCGGTGCGTCGTTAGAATTTGTAATCGAGTACTTTGTTTAGATTTTGTAATCGAGTTACAATTGTTAGTATTTTGTAATCTGATAACGTG